GTATGTTTTGAGCACATATTCTTAAGAATAATGTTTTGTTTATAGAACTGTTTTTATTCTATACTATTAGTAGATGTTGGCGTTGCCCATTTGGGATGTAAACAGTAAGAGATAGATCCAAGTATCGACCATCATAAAGACTGAAAAATAAAATTGACAAAGATTATTGTTTAAGGTTGACGGACATGCATGTCTTAATTAGTTTTTTATTTTGTTTTGTTTTTTGATTTTTTATGAATTGGTCAAACCCAAACTCAAACAAAAACATTGTTTTCAATCGTTATGAGTCTACTCGATTGAATAGAATTTTTATTATAAACAATTGTAAAATAAATGGAATTTTTAAAGCATTCTGAAAACAAAAAATAAAGAAAAAAATGTGCAAGACAATAAAAACACTGTGCAAAAAAAAGTGAAGTTTTGTTGAATCGGTTCAAAAATGTAGGGAAATATGATCCCATATATAAATGAATACACACACACACACACACACAAACAACCTAGGTTTTATAATAAGTATAACTCGATATGAGTTGTCCCCCTTTCATTCTCGCGAAAGCGATTCCTCTTAATCGTGTTTTCAAATTGATTTCGTGCAAAAACAATTGTGTTTTTTCCAATTTGTGGCGCTGTCAGAACCACCGCAAAGTAATTTTACGTAGTCCTGTGAAGTTTTGTTGAAATCGGTTGAAAAATGTAGGAAATCCGATCAAATATATAAATGAACAGACACACACACACACAACCTGGGTTTTATAATAAGTATGATGTACGAACCGCCATATAGCATGACCTGCTTTTACAAACAATTTCTTTTACTATGACAATTTCTCGGACATTCAGGCCGGTAAATGTTGTTAATACTGTTTGTTATAAACAGAGCATTTACTTAAATATTTGTATCTATAAAAAAGAATGTATAAACATAAAAATATCTTAAAACAATTGTCGGACTTTGTCCATTTCATAATGTGTGACGTCATTTGTTTATATTTGGATACGCATCGAGCAGATATGAATGTACGAGAGAAAATCATGGCAAATTTTAGTTCAAAAACAGTAAAATCGACATTGCTAACCGAAACGCTCTTCTGTGGCGAAATCGGTAAAAAGCTTTCATTTATCTATGATTTGTTCCGTATAGGATACAGGTTTGATTCCTGTCGGGGGGACACGTATTTTCTATGACAATTTCTCGAACATTCATTCGGTAAATGTTGTTAATACTGTTTGTTATAAACAGAGCATTTACTTAAATATTTGTATCTATAAAAAAATGTATAAACATGAATATATATATATATATATATATATATATATATATATATGTGTGTGTGGTGTGTGTGAAGAAAAATATACGGAAAAACAAAAATCCTAATCTGCAATTATGCTGTTTTAATGTTAATATATAATTGCATATTAGGAATTTTTGTTTGTTTTTCCATATATTTTCTTCATACTGTCGGATCTATATCCATATATTTGCTTACATATATATATGTTTTTTAACCCGGATATAAGAGAGTTGTCGGGACCGGAAAAGAAGTCTCTTATATCTGGGTTTCTCTTATATCCGGGTTTGGTCTATTTTGTTTACATTAACACAGGCTCTAATTTGGGACCATAAAAATCTCTTATAACCGGGTTTCTCTTATATCCTGGTTTCTCTTATATCCAGGTTACACTGTATGTATATATATATATATATATATGTATAAAGGGATATATATATATATATATATATATATATATATATATATATATATGTATGGTGGGGTGACGTTGAATATGCGTTTATGTCTATATTGTGATTCTTATATTATGATTATAAACACATACACATATGGGTAATATCTTGGTGAAGTGTATGAAAACTCTAATATGTCTGTCTGTGCGTCTGTTTGCCTGTATGTGCGTCTTGAGATTGTAGTGGGCGATAAATGCGTGTGCGTTTTGTGTATATCTAGGCATTTGTTGAGAGTTATATTTTTCATTTCGCCTCCTGAAAAGAAACCTTTTGAAACTTTCTCCGTTCACTTTGATTAAATGCTATTCTTTCTATTTTGTTTTGCAGTTCCCACAAGTGATTCGCGGATTTTGCTTTGGTGGTTCCTTGGTAATGATATTTTGTACAAAAATTCCCTCTTCAATAATATCTGATTCTTAACATCATATTTTCAGACATCTTTCCAATAATCAGTTAAGAAAATTTCAATTTTGCTGTTACTTGATCATTACAATATGCACCAGACCATTATTGTTCATCGCAAACTACGAATAAGCTCGCACAAGCGCGCGCACACAAACACACTCACACACACACACAAACACACATACCCATTATCGTCCGTACGGATGCTATAACAATCTCACATTGAATATTTCTTCTCTTATTCTTTAGGTGTCACTGTTTGATTTCTTCCGTTCTTGACAAAAGATTCCTTTTTACTCCATCGCCAAATCATTCCTTGTATTGCTTTTTATTTCATTTTTTTCTTTTCATTTTACATTTTACTTTATCTATTGACTCTCATCTCTTATTTTCTTTTATTGTTTTTTGACGGACTTTTCTCTGTCACGCACACACTGAAATATATATATATATATATATATATATATATATATATATATATATATATATTTAGAGAGAGAGAGAGAGAGAGAGACATGAGATATACATGTATAAAACACACACACACAACATATATATATATATATATATATATATATATATATATATATATATATGAAATGTGAACGAATCGAATATATATTCCAACGTTCATAACATTAATTTAAAAGAAGGCTCAATACCTGAGTAGAGCGGTATTATTTATTTTAGGATATTACATCGAAAATATGTGAATATCGCTATACAAATGCAATTATGATTGCATTTGTGTAGTGTTATTCACATGTTTTGATTTACTTTCCCAATATATATATATATATATATATATATATATATATATATATAATAGCTGCCCAGTCGTATTCGAGGATACCTGTCTGCTAATGTATACCACTTTGTGTGTGTGTTTGTGTCTGTGTACATGTATTTGTATATGTCTCAGTGAGGGAAACAAATCGTTACGTACCACTTGAAGCCGAAAATGCCGCAATGTTTCTGACCAGATAGAAATTGTGTGTGATTTTGTTTCCTTTTTTTATGGAAGAGCGCACATTGCTGGTGAAACGGTATTTATCTGGGATTGGTTTATAAATTGCCAAGCGGAGTCGCAGTGTGTAGTTGTAAAGATGAAAATAATTGTAGCTAACGGAGTTTACACAAGTCGATACCGATAAGTATCGGCTGGGTCACCGTGGATAGAGGGTATGATGTTGAAAGAACCGAAAACCCTAATGAACCTCGGCTAGAAACATCACTGATTATGTGTACCAAAGCATCCAATAGATGTATTTTACGATTTTAACACTTTTGGTAAAGTCTGTTATTTTAATATAGCCTACATTGATAGCCTTCTCTTACAGAAAAACCAGGCAGGTGTCCCAACCAAAAGATAGAGGATGAAAACGAGGAATTGCAATGTATGCCACATTGTGAAGATGAAGAAAATTGTATTAACCCCTGTCCTCTCGTTTGTCGGGATAATAGAGACTGTCAAGAAGGTACGTGAGGTTAATATTCATAGTGTTTTACGGCGATTTTCACTTTTGGACATAATCCTTACAATTTCCCAAAGCTATATTGATAAAATAATTAGCAGAAAAGAAAGACTATAGCTGTATTAAATATGATGGTATGACTACAGTCAGATACTTTGAAATTACCAAAAAAATAATGATATGGTCATTAGCAAAATGGGCAGCACATGATGTAAGCTACGAAGTGTAGATGTCAAAATCAACAAGTACAGAAATTTAACAATAAGTAAATGTTTAACAGACAATAGAAAACAGAATATCGAAAATCGAATGCATATTGAAATAGATATTTTTAAAAAGCTCAACAATATATTAAGAAACAAAAAGTTTCATTAGAAATTATGAATGCTAAATCTGTAAAAAGATGATGTCGGAATTTGAAATCGGCTCGTCATTTCCGCTTTGTTCCGCTTCAGTATCCCTTACACTACCCACGATTGAGCCATTACTAACTGGAAATTATTTTCTTTGTTATTAAAGTGTCACACTGAAATCCGTAAGCCTGTTGTGATAGCGAAAGATGTCTTCCAAAAGCTAAGAACAAAAGCTTAAGAAACAGAAAAATTTCGTTAGAAACAAAACGTACTGAACTGTTATGTAATAAAAGTCCTCATATATGACAGTGGATGCTGAACAGCCGCCTCACAGATAAAGAAGCAAATATACTTCTAAAGAAAGATTTTGAGAATAACATGGGCTGAACATGTGAGCAACGTGGAAGTCTTTAGAGAAAATGCAAACAAAATGTACGCTTATACTTAACATCAAGGAGACATATTTGAATTTTTATACGGCACATAATGAGGAAAACGTTCATGGAAAATTTGATATTCACAAGACAGATTGAAGGAAAGATGACAAAGAAAAACAATGATTAATTTACTTAGTGAGCTTGAGTAAATGGATGTCGAAACACGGTTTATAAGAGATAGCAAAAATACATTTTTAAGAACTACGAAAGACAGAATATTGTATAGAGTTGCTCTTCACAATTTTCTCACCTAATGGATTAAAGCGTTGCTTCGTGATGTGGTGACAGTAACTGTGAGTTTAACCCCTGGTTAGGTCAGTGTGTACTTGTACTAAGTGGTAAATGAGCAATACTAAAACTAAGACAATATCATGAGATATGTGCAGTAGAACAAGAACAGTCTACTCCCGTAGATTAAATAAAGGGCTCTGTTCAGAATTCGCTTTAGTTTTGTTGATATTTCACCCGTTTAAGTTTGTTCGAAAAGATAAGTAATTACCGTTGTAGCAAAAAAAGGATAATTCAATGACATAACACGGCGTGAGAAAAAAGAATGAAATCAAACTTTTGAGATTCAAACCTTTTATGAGTATAACAGACAAAAAAGAAAAAAAAGGAAGAAAAGGAGAAAGATAGAGTGTAGCAAAAATGTTATTTTACGAACTTATCTTGTCACAGAAAAGAAACGTCCTGTTAACAGTTCTTTGAGGTCTTGTGATTTCTTGTGGTGGTGGTGGTGGTGGTGGTGGTGGTGGTAACGCGACAATGTCTTGGCCTATGGACTTCCTGAGGATTCAGAAGAATATTTTTTCACGTGGAGTAGGTGCTAGAATTCGGGGTTCAAGATATCTGTTGGTAATTTTTTTCCGAGAGCAGTGTTTTTATACGTGCTACTCCTTGAAATCCAACGTGGGAAATAAGAGAAAGATTCAAATATTGCGCGCAGATCAGGTCAAACCAGCTTCAGTAAGGGGCCTTTTGATTGGTTCCTTTTCAGCCAGTCACAGAGATCGTTGTAACAGTGCCACTGGGCCCGTTTAAAGGCGGGGGGTTACTCTGAAGGACTCATAATAATTTCAATAGTTTACCCAGATCTATATACACCTGAGGAAGGCATGAGGAGACAACGCCTGAAACGTGGCAATACCATCAACAAAGATGTGGACAATAATCCGGATATAAATAGTATAAATAATGATAACTCCATATCTCATAAATTCAGCGAAAACATTTTAAAATTACGCAATAAAAAATATACATCGGTGGTAATGATAATATTTTCTCTTGATTGCGAAATTCTGTTCGGATATTCGAAGGCGTCCGTCGTATTTCTGATTATACAAGGTTATCTGCGTACCCTGTAAACGATTAGGGTCTTAAGTGAGAGAATCTGTGCCCTTCTCTTTTCGGGCTGGTTTTGAATTCAGAGTTTTCCTTCCCCTCGACTGGTTGCCACCCAAGGCAAGAGAATCCAATCAGCCCTGCTATTTAACCAAGAGCTGGCGAGAAAGATAAAACACGCTCATACGTTTCCAAAGGTATTCTAAAGTAAACAGATAGAACTCTGCTGGAATTCGATTTCGGATCGCCGGTTTCTCTCGCTGAGTTAATCTTTATTATCCGCGCACCCTATACACTGTTGAAGGTTTTCCATTTTCCCAACAGATTTTGCAATATTGAATTTTTCGCCAAGTACAAGACAAAATATCATTTTTGACTCCTCCTCCTCCTCCTTTTCTACACGAAAATATTTCTTAATTCATCCCCCCAACCCCTGCATAATTAACCTCGGTCAAATTGAAAGTCATCAAACCAGGCCAAAGAATTAATTTCTCGTCAGAGTAAAATAATTATTACCACTTAAAATAAAATTGTAATAGAAAGGGAGATAATTCAAATTTGGTAGTAAATTAACGCATGGTTAGCTCACTTTACAATTTTAATAAGCTTTACAAATGAAATGAAGTGTTTATTTGTTTGTCTTATATTTAGACAAAATTAGTTAATCAGTAACGCCGGATTACCTCTGTTATTTATCAAATAAAATTCAGGGGATTTAGTAGAAGCTTATGACAAAATCGATTAAAAGATACAATGTCAGCCCGCCGTATTCTTTTAACCACAGATATCATAGGGTACGTAAAGGACGATAGCCACTCACTTAACCTATTTGCATGGAGCACATAGAATGGAAATGGGAAAAAGTTAAAAGGAAAAAAGTATAAGAACACACCTCCAGGAACTGAGAAATCTGTTCAGTGTCCAAGCCACTTGAATATTCGAAAAACAATTAAAAGGTTCAAGATCTCAGCGTTGTACTGAAGATTACAGATTTGCTTCCACACAGAGTCCAGCTATAAATATCAAAAATCGAATGTGAACATGCAGATCCTTCTATAACTCAAATTCAAATTCATGTAGATATGTTTTTCCAGTTGTTAAAAGATCTCTCCTCGTTATTCTAATTATCCTCAATTTCTATCACTTCCTTCTATATTCATATCACTGACGTCCTTAATCATAGCCATTTTAACAGTAACCCTTTCAGTAGCTCTTGTGTTGGGTGGATTTTAGTATAACAATCATGCAAGACATTTGCTGGGCATAAGAAAACATCTATAAGGACAAATATTTTAAAATGGCTACAAAATTTAATAATAGCGATTAAAACGGACATATGAAAACAAGAGGAATGAAATACTAATAAAAATGAGTACCAAAAATATATTACCGTAAATTGGTAATATCAAAATGTAAAAAGCAGCTGTAGTTTGGTGCGGTTCATTTTAGTCTCTGTGCACATTTCTCGTCCGTACATAAGCTCTGAAAAGAGAGGGCCGGTAGACCGGTGTAGCTCTGATGAGAGAGTGCCGGTAAACCGGTGTAGCTCTGACGAGAGAGTGCCGGTAAACTGGTGTAGCTCTGATGAGAGAGTGCCGGTAAACCGGTGTAGCTCTGACGAGAGAGGACCGGCAGACCGGTGTAGCTCCGGTGAGAGAGTGCCGGTAAACCGATGTAGCTCTGACGAGAGAGGGCCAGTAAACCGGTGTAGCTCTGATAAGATAGTGCCGGTAAACCGGTGTAGCTCTGATAAGAGAGTGCCGGTAAACCGGTGTAGCTCTGATAAGAGAGTGCCGGTAAACCGGTGTAGCTCTGACGAAAGAGGGGGCTGATATACCGGTTAAACAGATTTTGTATTTCGATAATTTCCGCTAATGTAACTGTTTTTCCTTCTCATTTTTTATTCTTTTCTATTATCTTAATATTTTCGATTTAATTCCTATTAATTCCTATTAATAAATATATAGATGTAAGCACTTTGATCATATAATACATTTATTTTAATCTTTTTTTACAGATCTGAAATGTTGTTTAAACGGACTTTATCGTCAGTGTAAGGCACCAATACAAATCAGTAAGACAAATTATAATGTTTTTAACAGAATACTTTTTTTTTATTACTATAAATGCCACTTTAGTGTATACAAGTGTTTCGGTAGATAAAACGGAGCAAGTTTTATTAAAGAAAATGCGCCTCTTGGCGAGGATCGAACCTGTATTCCCTTTTTCCTGGAGTACAACCATTTAGCAAGGTTATTCGGTCACGGAGATCACTAGAGCACGGTGAGGCTCAGTTACCCTTTTTATGAAACGGACATCTTTCAGTGATTCAATCTGTTAACTGTACTTTCGTTCACGACACAAAAACAGAAATTTAAGTAAATAATGGATTTAATCTCAATTTAGTTTTTATTAATATCCAGTAAATTAGAGATTTTGATTATAAAAACAACATTATTTTTACAGAGTGTAGATTTTTGATGTGATGAATTATTTCTTCGAAGTAGATTAGCCGCTTGAAGATTTTGTAATAAATGATAAATCTAACATATTTGTTAAGATCATTGATTTTTATATAACGGCGAAGTATAATTTTAATAACCTAGTTACAATAAAACAATTTAATGTAGTCGTTACTTTTATTGATATCAAGTTGGTTGCTTATGTTATTTTTCTAAATTTCTTTAAAGTTAATCTTATTTCTTCACCAACGGTATGGTTAGGAAAACGATTGTTAATAAGTGTTTGTTTTATGTTGCTTAATTATCTATGAAAAAAAACATCTAACTTAAACCTTAGAAATAATTCACCTAAAAATAATGTAACAATGATGGTCTTTATCAATTATTATCTCCAATGGGAGATTGTATCTACACCACTAACAATCAACAAATAAAATTACATTCTTACATTAGCCACACAGGCACCACACTCTCTCGTAGGTTAAATTATCATTTGTCAAAATTTTAGTGCAATTCACGCACATTTAGATAAACATATCAGAAACAGCCAAAATTATACATACATACATGCATACATACATACATACATATATATATATATATATAATTTTGGCTATAACCATGGAATATTAATGTTGAGCCTTTTATATTATATTCTTACTCTGTCCTGGATATATATATATATATATAGTTCGTTACTTTTAGTGGCTGCGCATATTTGTGTTGGGATGACATTTTTTTTTATTTCCTTAAACATTGAAATAATTAACAAACGGCCTAATTCAACATGTCCTACAAAAGAAAAAATGGTAGTAATTATAAAGGAAGAAATAAAGTCGGATTAAAATATCGTTATATATATATATATATATATATATATATATATATATATATATATATATATATATATATATATATATATATATATGCACATTCATTGAATACGACAGACAAGGTGCTAAGATTTAGTTTTTTATACAATTTCTCATGCCATCTAATATTTTTTTCTTTTCAGATGATAAATTATATAAAAACTGTCCGAATGTTCTTTTAACCCGAGTGCTTTTGCTATACATTTAGCCATTTTCTTGTAAAATTTTCATTTTCTGTCGTATTCAATGAAATATGCATGAAAGGATTGCTGCCTAAACACACACACACATAGATAGATAGATAGATAGATAGATAGATAGATAGATAGATATGGGTATATAGCAATAAGATTATAACTTATCACACATATAGTACAGATGTTAACGAAACAGTGTTCAGTGTAATGAAACAAACCAAAATATTGCGTTCTGCATGAAACTCAGAGTCGCACTAGAGGCGTGAGATAGTATGTATACTTATTAATATATATATCGTTTCCAACTACATATATATATTCGACTCTCCCGTCGAATTCGACGTATGAGGGTGAAGCAGATCAGTTCCTAGGAAACCGACAGCCTGACAACAACACATGAGATTTGATTATAGTGGTGAAGGTTTCGTGCAGGACCATCGACACTTTTTGAAGGGTTTTGAATTCAGAGTTGTCCTTCTCCTAGACCAGTTGCCACCCAAGGCTATAAAACCCAGTCTGTCCTGCTATGTACCCATAGTTGGAGGAAGAAGATTCACACCTTTCCCAAGGGTATTAGCACGTAAGTGAATGTAACTGGATTCGACTGGATTTCAGCTCTCCGATTCTTCAACAAATTGTGAAACAGACGACATTTTACAACTTTCCAAATTGAAATAAATAAACCTGAAAAAATAAAATCTTGCTTGTTGTTATTTTATTTACAAAAAAAAAAATCTCAGAAAAATTTCGAATTAATATTAACATAATTTGTTCCATTGATAATAGTTTTTTAAATTTTATGTTATGCGTACACTTATCATAAACACTTCTAATTTTACAACAATGAGAAGACGCATCTACGTACATATACGTGAATCAACCTCTCACCTTTCCAGAATTAATCAAACTCTCACCTTTCCAGAATTAATCAATCTCTCACCTTTCCAGAATTAATCTCCTGAGCGACAAACTCATTTCGTTCCTTTCGGTCGTTGACGCCATCTTGTACGTGAAGACATTTTTCACTCTGCAATCTCTTTCACACAGATACAACGTCAACAGCCTATCGCTACTCCACCGTAAATGTTTAAATAAACTCCGTTATTTAGTTCTACTTCTTCTGACTTTTACAGTTATGACGTGTCATACTCTGTCCACGGAGCCGAATCTCTCTCATTCCTTCCGTAGTCTGTTTTTAAAGAGGAAGTTCCGCTCAAAAAATATTTTCCCCAAGAAATGCTACTTTGTAGCACAGACTCCTGAGTGAATGCTTCCCTGAATACTGCAACAGCAGCATTAATTTGTAGAGGACCTTGTGGGTTTGCGAAATAGGGACACGTGCTGTTTATTTCCAACTAGACGGTCCAACTACAAGAAAATGGCGGACTCAAGTTAAGTCCAATCGAAGATGTAAAGAAAACAAACAAGACGATATATATATATATATATATATATATATATATATATATATATGTCAACAAATATATGTATTAAACAACAAATTTACAAGTGACATAGACATTAACATTTGTGTTTGTGTGTGAACGTAAAGAGTTTGCATTTTGGTAAATGTTCGTACGTACGTGTATGTGTGTATAATGTTCACGGCGTCTTCCCACAAGTGATAACATTTTTAAATGTGTCCGCTGATATGCAAAGTGAAAAAGAGAACGAGGCAAGAAATCGCTCAGTATTTATAGTGTAAGGAAAGCGACCCCTAGCGAACAATTAGGGAATTAACTCCGACAAATTCACTTTCCCATAATAGTCCCCAAAATAACGGCAATTAACTTTTTCCACAGTTTACCATTCCTTGCACGTTAAGTTTTTAGAAAACTTTAGAGCATCCTCTAAGTCAAAATTTGAAAACTTAATATTTTTTCAACACGTTATTTATGTGCATGATTACAGATTACAACATAAAATTTCGCATATGCCATAATAAAGTTCCTCAATGAACGAATTTATTTATATTATTATTTATATTATCTTTATTTATGTATCTTATGCCTTTTCGAATTTATACACACGCACTCCACACACACGCACACACACACATATATATATATATATATATATATATATATATATATATATATATATATATATATATAATACCATGGTAATTGGTAGGGATAATTCAATTCCAAGGACTTTCATCCAAAGAAAACAATCTAAGAACTGACTGATATAATAGTAATAAGTATTATTTTAATTTACTTTATTTTATTGATGTTTGATATTATTATTATTATTATTATTATTATTATTATTATTATTATTATTATTATTCATTTGAAATTGTGATAATTATAATGGGATGATGACAGGAAATTATATGAACATTAGACATACTGTATCTTTTTAAATTCTGATCACCCCGCCTCTGCCTTACTTTGTATATTAAATTTTTCAGACCTTTAAGGAAAAATTTATTTCTAGGTCAATATATTGGCTCATATTTAATTCTTCCTTTTTTACTTTCTCTCTCTCTCTCTCTCTCTCTCTCTCTATCAGTCCCTTCCCGCTCTCCTCCTCCTCACACTCTCTCTCTTTCCTATTTTTTATATTGAAATTTTTCTTTTTCTCTCTTCCTCTTTTGTCATAAAATTTTTTCTTTTTTTTTCCCATCCTTCTTTATTTTGTCTGAACAATTCTCATTAAAAAAAAAACTCGGTCTGACGAGATTAATATTTAAATATATTCATGAAATAAATTATAACCAAAATGGATTTTTAATGATTGTCTTTCCTTATTACTATTATATATATATATATATATATATATATATATATATATATATATATATATATATATATATATATATATATATATATAAAGGGTACTTGAAGTATAAATTCAGAAATATCTATATATATGTTTCATTACAGATGACTGACAAGTTTCTACTAACAGAAAGATTGACAATTTACTATCAGTAAACAGCCTCGATCTGCCTACCCTATGTGAAGGGATTATCGGGAAAAATACAAAATATCTGTGGTCCATAGAGCATCAGGACAACTTTCAACTTTACACACATACACGTGGGTCAACTTTTCACAGACACCTCTTCCGAGTAAGACCTCCCATAGAAGAGAACATAATCATTTTACTCAACTTGACTTGTGTTCGAAGAAGTTTTTTTTTCTTCTTTTCTTGATATATTCTATATGTCCGAGCGATTTCGGATATTCTATTAGCCATTATTAAGGATGTTTTTATTTTTAACGAAATGTGTATCTAGAGTGATGGAATTTTTTTTTATTATATCCAAACACAGTGAGCACTATTTGATGCTATTGGGTGTTGTTTTTTTTTCTTTCTTAGGATAACTGCTTCTATTATTTCTAACCTTTTTACATATGGAAAAGGCTATTTTACTGGTATTTTCTACAAGTATGTTGCAGATGGCGTTTGGTAGTTGTGTATTTCAATGAGTCCTAATGGCAGTTGTCTATGACGTCTACCCTGGCCGCTCGATATTCAAATTCGATCCGCTCGGCTGATCGTAGAATTGATCGCTTCGGCCCAAGTCTTGTCTCGCGCCACGTTGTGTCACTTGATCGCAAGACTGGTTTGGTACGAATGGTCGACTGAAATCGGCGACTTGGTTTTGATTCAGTTAAAGTAAAGTCATACGAAAGAAGAAAAAAAATTGGATAAAAGAAAAAATATATTTATATACAATTCCGTGATACAATGTTGATGGTACAATTATTGATGGCTTAAGCAGGCCTATATTCTCCATGCAATAACTATCGACACTTCCCGACCATTGTGACAGACTGTTTGTTGTTATGGATTTGAACGAGTCTTCTGGAATAAGGCTTTAATTCTGAGTTATTTCGTCAGGGGCGGCAAATCACACGAGGACAGGACAAGCGGTTGTTCTCGTCTCTCCGTTTAGTCCCGTCTCCGCAGTCTCTCTAGCCGCGTCTCTAGCCGTGTCTACCTCACCTACTCGGCGTTCTGTCTTTATGGACCCCTGTACAAGGGCTGGGGTGGAGAATGATGTGCTCTGGGAATGCCAGCGTTCCCCAAACAACCAATTAGGGCCCTCCCTGCAAATGTCCAATAATGGGGGAGCCCTCTTCACTCCTTGGAATTCTACCTGGGTCTCCTGATCAAACCCGTCTTCTTCCTGCTTTGTGTGAGTACCTCTCAACATCACTGCCCGAGGGAGGTGGAAAGTCCTCTGCATTCCCTGAAATTCCACCTGGGCCATTTCCTCTTTGGTCACCTGATCAACCCCGTCCTCCAAGGACTAGGCGTGGTCTAGCACAAACGACCTAATTTCAATTATCATTCAAAATTCTTTCTTTTGTGTGTGGTCGTTTTCGCATCTGGGATGTATCATTTTTTTTAATCCCCTCGTCGACCATTTGGTCAACAAGTTACAAAAAGTGGGCAATTGATTTGGGAAGTCATATTGCGTTTCGGTAAACGAAAAATTTAATTGCCATTCCCTTACCTACATTCTCTGGAAAATTTGTCTGGTTTTAAGATTTAATCAATCGACCGAATTCGCGACCAGAGGTCACTCTTCCTCTCCGTCACTCAATGGTTGTAAAAATATTATCTATTTCTTTCCGGGAGGCTTTTGGACCGCCAAGAATATACCATCACTTATTCTCAGCCCTGACCAAAACCAGATTGTCTCTTTCTTTTACATCTCCGGCAGACGATAAATTTAATTACCTTCTATTTCTATTTTCTTTTGTCTGGCCATCAGTATATCTTCAGTCTATCGAAAATGAGTATTTTTTCTCTCTTCTATTCCCCTCCCCCAATAAAAAAAAACAAACAAATATCCTTTTCTTTCATTTTCCTTCGTCTGGTCATCAGTATGTCTTCAGTCTATCGGAAACTGGTGTTTTTCTGTCTTCTAGCTTTTCTTTTCAATTTACTAGCGCCTTTCCAATAGTGTCACGTCTATATTTCTGTGATGAGGTATTTTAACTATTTACACTAATTACATTGTTCGAGCTATTGCTCTCATCTTTATTGTCATATTCACGACGTTTCGTCCGTTGTACACTCCTGCCTTCTTCAGGGGATATAGGTTGGAATTTCGAATCGAACTCTATTTAGTCTGCTATCTATCTACTGGAGTAGATTGTGCCATGCTTTCTGGATATCTCGGTGTCAGTTATTTCCCTTTATTAACTCAATCATCCAAGTTTTTGTTTTGCTATTTAACTCATAACTTTTGTGGGTAAGTTACTGGATTGCTTCAACCAACGCTTTTATCCACTGAGCCATGTGTCCTTGGAGACCAGTGAATGAATTCGGGGGACTTATAAAGTTAATGTCTCAGTAACCGTGGACAGAGTATGATATGTCTTAGCTGTAAAATAAGCCTAATGTCTCATATTATAATTTTGTATTATTGTTGTTTTTTCTATATTAATTTCATGTCTGTGCTTAGCCGGCTTAGGAGATTTGTGTGTCCTAGCATATGCGCCACTTCCTTAAATTTTCTTATTTTCCAGTGATTTTCTCTGTCTATTATTTCATCCTCCTCCCACGGAGAGCGGCGATCTCCCTTTTCCCTCAATATGTGGTCAGTCATGCCTTATTTTTGTATACCTCCATGTTATAGCTTTACGATGCTCCTGCAGTCTTAAGGATGAGCCTGTTTCTCTTTTATATGTCTTGCCACAGCTGCATGGGATGGCGTACACACAGTCCTTAATTATGTTCTCCTCTATGGGAGGTCTTATTCGGAAGTGGTATCTGCGAAGAGTTGAACCACTTTTGAAAGTCGTCTGGTTGTTATATGGATCACAGATCTTTTGTATTTTTTCCGATAATCCATTCACATAGGCTAGGCGCACTCCCTCTCTATGCAGACATACTGTTTATAATAAGACAATATGTGTGTATAGAATGGAATTCAATGCTCGGAGATGAGATTTGCCAGAACCTAATCAAGTCAATGCCAAAAAGGGTTGAAAAGGTTATTCAAAATAAAAGAGGACCCATAGATTATTAGATATTTTGAAGTATATTACCTATTGTAAATAAATTATACCTCTATTATTCTTTATTTAAAGCTGTTCGGTTATGTTTCTATTGATTACTAGTTGCAGGAAATAAGTCACTTTTTTTTTTGCACAAAGTTTTTCCCTAAATCTCATTTATATCCAAAATTATAATTATCAATAGAATACCTTAGGGTGAGTAAACTTTTTTACTAGGTGGTTATATTAGTAAGATTAAAAATGAGTTTGACCCCAAAAACAATAGGCGAAAATTTTTTTAAGTAAAAACAAATCAGGTGAGCCACTTTTATCGAACAGCACTGTATATATATATATATATATATATATATATATATATATATATATATATATATATATATATGACAAAACAAAAAAACTGCTCAGGGCACGCACGCAAACCCTACACAACATAGGGGAGGTATGTGTGTTTGTGTTTTGTGTGTGTGTGTGTGTGTATACTAATTCCTTATACTAAGACAGTATATATATATATATATATATATATATATATATATATATATATATATATATGGAGAGGGAATATACGTATGCGTACGCATGCTGATAAAAACACAAAAAAATAGAAATAGATCTAAGAACACACAGGTGTCATTAAAGGATAAGAACACAGAGATCTTTCTCACCCTTTCTCGAATCAGTCTTAATTGATTTATTACTCTTCACGCAGAATTCTTTCACTGCCAGTTCAAGAAAGACATTTGGATCAATAACACACAAAAAAGAGAATGTCTAATATCGAAAATATTTAACATCGAAAAATATAAGAGAAATTAATTCCTTTTAATAATACGTGGAAATATACACTCTTTGCCTGATGAAGGTCGTAACGGGAAACCAGTGTAGCAAAATAAAGCATAATATATATATTTTTTTTAAATTCCACATTACAGCCAAGAATATTTGCGGTTTCTCTCTTCTTTTTATTATACACACTTTTCTCTCGTTGGAACTACTATAACCTCTTCTATAGATATATATATTTAATTATTTATTTAAAAATATGATTCCATCGCTACATAAGAGTCCTCATGTTTCAAAACAAGAGCCGAAAACTTCAATATAATTATTTGAATTAAATTGAATTTAAATAGCTCTGTTCCATCTTCAAGCGAAATTTTCTTTTGAATAACTAATTCCTGAAATTTACGCGTTTTATAAGCATATTTTTAAAAATAATAACAAAAATACTAAAGAACTTTGGATTATTTACCTAACCAGTTCTTTCCTATTTTCTATATATTTTTACACACACACACACACACACACACACATATATATATATATATATATATATATATCAGCAGAAGAATCTGAATAAATGGAGCGCCTACTCAAATATGATTATCTACCAAAATTTCGTTTGAATTTATAAAATATATATATATATATACATAAATCTACATATTAAATTAAATAAAAAGGAAACATAAAACATCCTTGATAATTTCTCATAGATTAATGGAAAGCGCCCTGATCTACGGGTTGTACACACTCTTGTACGAATGCTAGAAATATTTAATAAAATGTTAATCACAGTGACTTGTCAGTCATCTTTAATCGGTTTTAAATAAAGGCACGTAATCATCAACCTTCAGGCGATTCTTCAATGTTCAAAGAGTGGCCCCAAACATTTGATGTATAGTTTACATATTTTATATTTTACAGATGATCATGAACAGGAGCGAAAAAGAATGATTCAAAATATTCCTCTTTACAGAAAATTGACGCCAAATTGAAGCTAGTCTTGAAAGTCAATAACAGTGCAATTAATTCCACGCTTATATTTCTCCACTGCTTTGAAATTTTCCTAGATTAAACGAATCTCTTTTGTCTTGGGCATTAGAATCTTTTCTCCTGATGTGGACCTATTGTAAAAGAATTGAAGCAGGAGAAAAAGATCGTTGGCTGATTGTCAAAAGTTAAATGAGATAACATAAACTCTATTCTGACTTTCGTTTCTAATGCCTCAAATAAAGATTATATTATGTCAAACATAGAAACAATCTGCGTGATTGCTCTGTATTGAAAAGTCTTCTTTATGTGCTGTGTTCTCTCAAGACGTAGGTGACCATGGCTCTCCACAATGTCCTGTCCTTTGTAGCTCTTAATTTTTGCTATTTCTCTTAAACCCTGTTCTTCCAACCATTTAGTCAAGTTCACTAAGTGTACTAATAATTGTTTTGCTCTGTCCTTTTTGCTTTCAGTCTGTCCTGTGAGTACCAAGTTTTCCAAGCTCTCTTTCCTCATTATTTGCTCTAGAGATTTAAACTCTCTCTTTCTGAATTTAATTGTAAGTGTCCTTTTTGTTACCATTTCCTTTAAAACTTTGTCGTTGCTCACATGTTCGGTCCATATTATCCTCAGCATCCTTCTGTAGAGCCACATTTATGTTGATTTGTGTCTCTTCATCTTTGCGGAGATTGTCCAAGATTCTTTGCTTATACGAGGACAGATATCACGCAATAGTAACTTTTTCTTTGTTTCTAATGAAATTATTCAGTTTCTTAATACTCTGCTTAGCATTTGGAAGGCATCTTTGGCTTCGGAATTCAGTGTCGCATTTTGCGTCCACTGTTAAAAAACTTCCCAGATATTTATTTATTTTTTTATTTTTATTTTTTACTGGATTGGTTTTGACATATCCGATTTATAAATTTTATTTTAGGCTCATCCTTTTTTGTTAACAAACATGCATTATGTGTTCTTGCAATTTCTCTAATCATTTCTTCTCATTTTCCTTCAATACCTTCTGTAGGAGGTTCTGAAGTTTTCTTTCTGAGTCTTCTATCAACACAGTATCATCTGCATATTTTATGTTCTTAGATTGTAGCGGCCATGACACAAGCCATTGTATCGATGCACAGGGATGATCGGACTAGTTACAGATTTAGTGGGTGTAACAAATAATTAGGTTTCACTGTGTAACGTAATCAGGTTAAAACGGTTTTCTCTGGAACAGTGTTTACTCGATTTGTTGTTAACGTAAATACTAATATTAGCGGTTTCCTTATAAGTGAGATTTTCTAACAAGATCATTCAACCAATTTAGATATCAAATAATAAGGGAAATGGTAATATTAACCATTTCCTTACAAGTGAGACTTCCCAACAAGATGTTTGAAGCACTTCAAATAGCAAATAATAATTGAAATGTTAATATGAACGGTTTCCTTAT